TTGTTGAGGAGGCAGAGGCCAGCCAAGCTAGCTTACTTGACAAGAGACCTCTGTGTCAAGAAAACAAGATGAACAGAGTCTAAGGGATGACAACTACACACACACACACACACACACACACACACACACACACACACAGAATAAACCCACCCAGGAGGTGTCCTAGACAAAAGTCTTCAATATGTGTCTAAGCAAACCTAACTCTTGGTTTACAGGAATCATAAGGCACGTATTGAATAATGTAAGAGGAAAAATCACACAAACGAAGCCATTCCGTGGGGCACCTACAAAACAGTGCTCTCATCCAAGGCTCAATATATCAGAAAAAAAAGCACTAGAGGGAAGAAAAATATTCCTGTTTTAAAAATAAGTAGATATATCTAAATGTGATAAATTAACTTTGAATGCTTCCTGGGGAAATTTTATTCAGGAGTTGGTATCTGGTAGACCACAGAATTATTGTTAATTTGCTTAAACAAGATAATGTCATATGATCACATGGGACACTGTCTTTTATGTAAGAGATACATGCTTAAATATTTAAGGTGATGTGTTACAACGCCTGCAATCTAATATGGAAAACTAGCCCCATAATATATGTACCTGTAGACTTACATATATTTGCATATGTGATGTGAAAATGGAGAAATGCTGACATTTCTGGGTGATTGGTTATTATGCTAGTGCTCTAAATTTTTATGTTTGAAAATCTTCTAATAAAAATTACAGAGAAATTATGCTCTTAACCAAAAAATTCATAGAAACCTAGGTTTGCTTCTCTGCATTTTGATTTAGACCCTAGTGTATGCTGAATGCTTTTAGGAGTAATATTTTTATTCTATCCTATCTGATGTCATTTACTGAGCTTTATTTTTATATGTAGTTGAGGATTTGAGAGATTTATCAGATATGCATCTTGGTGAAAGAAATGTGCAATTATTGCATATTGAGTATGAACATTATCCTTTAGTGATCTTTCCACATTTAATCAGAATAAGGCTTATAAATTAAATATGCCCCTTTAATCTGTTCAGAGGAAGCTATGCTCTGTGTGTGTGTGTGTGTGTGTGTGTGTGTGTGTGTGTGTGTATGTGTTTAAACAGTCATCTGTCATTCCTTTAGAAATACTGCTATGGTAGAAGGTTATTATACTTATTGGTCATTCATAGAGAGCTTAAGAGTTCACAGGACTTTACAAAATACATGAAGAATAAAATATAAATTTATGATCTGTTGTTGCTCTACTGCCTAAACTAGAAAGTCCTGAAGTGTTGTGTGACCCCATTCCTGCTGAGACATGAACAAATACCTACTCACCTCAGACAGGAAACTGACAACAGAAAAAATAAAGATCCCACCAAAGTCTAATTTGGTGAACCAATGAGTTTTACCAGGTTTAGTTACAGGAATGTCAATGAGTAACCACTTACAAGAGCAGAAATGACTCAAAGACAGCTGTACCACCAAAGGCCACAAGAGCATGGGTGACAGCTCACAAAAGCTTGAAACCTGGAGCTCATTGCATGACTTGCAGTCAGCTTGACATGCTGGAGAGTGTCTCTTCCAGGCAGTTCAGCTGGTCTGATACTCTCCTAGGAAACTTGACTTGCCTGAGTTTCTCTCAGGGGGCCCTATTGCTTATATGAGCTTGAGGAAGGAGTGGGGCTAATGAATCTGGTCGGTTTCTGGGACTTCCTGAAACTTTTGAGTTATTTCCTTCCTGAGATTAGCAAGATTCCCTGAAAGATGGAATATTTCACCCTCCTTTAGAACGGCCTGAGTTTTAACAAACTTCCCTCTCTAAGAAAGAATATTTTATCATGGAGGAAATTGCTACCCAACACAAAGCAATCCCTCAGCAGACTGCAGAGCTCCAATCACCTTTTCAAAATGTTTCCAAGGTTGTCTGAGCGCCCTCAAGAATGGATTTATCATCACAAATGGCGGCTTGTCCCACCGGTCTCCATACACACTGCAGGGAAATCTGAGGAGGAATCCAGCTACAGTGTGGGACTAGGGAGTGCTAATTAGAAGAGGAGAGTTTTCCCAGGTCATTTTCCACTAACCCATAGAAACCATGGCTAATTGGGAGGGAAACAATCCTAACTGGATAAATGTGGGCGATGCTAAGTGAAACCAAGTTAAATTTGTTCCTTTACTCCAAGACTCTCAGAATGCTCACTGTCCACTATTCTCTATCAATCTCACTGGAAACACACCATTTCCAAAAGTACAGTGCCCACAAAACACCTTTATTTTTTCAATTAGATTTCCTAGGACCAAATACTGAGCAAAATCAGCCAAAAGATACGTTCTAAAAAGGTTTCCTAGAGATGTTCAAAGACGGAAATTGGAAACTCAGAGAGGTTAAGTTACCTACACTGGGCTCTATGGGGACAACATACCAATCATCATTCTAATCCAGGTCTAACCCCAAAGCTCATGCCTTCCACCATTAATGCCTCTATCTTACAGTGTGAAATTGACCACTCCAGGAGAGAAACCATTTCTTTAAAAACAGGATATAAATTATTTTAAATAGTTCCTTCCTATTCTAAAACCCATAACAGATTTCTATAATGCCTAATCAGGTGAGGTCTCTCCCTGTCTGGGAAGTAACTTAGAGGTTGGTTCTATTCACTACCTGGGGAATAGCTCAGAGTTTGAGCTGAAATGGAGCCGGCTGCCTTATCTGGATATCACCAGAATGCCAGAACAGGCCATCTCCCTGTACTTTGAAATGCCTTTTCCTCATTTCTTCTGAGCTGAGCTGGCACAAGTCTTTGTATCTTGAGCCAAACCCCTATGTCAGAATGTAAAGGGAAAGATCCCAAAGACAGGTAAAGGATGCATGTAGTAGAAAAACATCCCTGACAGAAGCCATAGGCCAAAATCTGAGACTTCATTAAAAAATAATATTCACCAATTAGTGATGTAGATCAGTTGGTAGAATGCTTTCCTAGCATGCCCAAAGCCCTATGTTCAATCCTCAGCACTGCATAAAACTGGGCGTGACAGAACACACCAGCAATCTAATACTCAGCAGGTATTAGGGGATTCAAAGTTCAAGGTCACTCTCAGCCACATATCCCAGCCTGGGATAAATAAGAACGTGTCTCAGAAAAGAAATAATAACAATAACAACAGCAATAATAATCACTAGGGTTCTTTTTGCCTTGCAAAGACCCTGTCCTGAAGAACCTGGGCTCACCTGCTGGAGAAGAAGCTGCTATTTAAAATCATTTCCACTGCACCTTCATTTCCGCATGCATTCCGGTCAAAGAGAAAGCAAGAAGAAATTTCAGAGGCCTAAAAACGATTGCGAGTTGTCTCTATTCCACCGTTCTTCAACAGAAATGTGGTATAAGCTGTAGGTGTATTTTTAACTTTCCAGTAGCAGCACTGAAAAAGAAGAAGGAAACATGAAATTACTTTTAACAATATTTATTCAACCCAATGTGTCTACCACTTTATCACTTAAACATGTCATCCAAGGTAAGGAAGACATTCATGAGGCATTTTACAACCTGTTTTTCTACAAAGCCTGTGTATATTTTACATCTGTAGGGCACCTCATTACTTCATTAAACATTGTTACCAATATTTGAGCCATATTCAGAGCTCATAAAATATATAGCTGGCAAAACTGAGTAGCATATCCAAATTGTCACCATCAAACTTAAATTTTTCCCATCACTACTAAACTGAGCATCTATTTCAAAATTTATATGTTAATTAAATTAAAATTTAGGTCTTTATTCAAACTGGCTGTACTTTAAGGCAGGTAGCCACTTTTGGTTTGTGACTTCCCTTTTAGCGAGCTTGTGGCAGCCCCAGTAGTCAAAAGTTCTTAATGAGGCCTATAGTGCCCCCTAGAGGGCATTTTGGAATTTATGGAAACATTTTTTTTTTTTTTAGCACTGCACAGGCATTCAAGGGTTTGAGAGGCCAAGGACTCCAGGCACCCTGTAGTATTTCAGACAATACTACACAGCAAAAATATTGTCCCACATTAGGACTCTTGCACAGATAAAACACCTGTCTACAGTTATTAGGGCCTAGATCCAAGCCATTTTTTTTATTTACTTAATTTATTTCATTTTTTTGTGGGAGTGCACAGTTTAGCTTTGATATGTATTCAGGGAAAATAAAATGCATGCAAGATAAAGTAAGTTTGTAGCTGGTTTTGTGCAGAGTACTACTAAATATTGTTCACTATATTTTTAAAAATTATTCAACTGATTAAATACTTCAATTAGGCAGGACATGGTAATGCCTGCCTATAATTTCAACACCCAGTCTGAGGCAGGGGGATTGCTACTTTAAAGTCAGACTGAGTTGCAGAACAAGTACCATGCCAAGCCCAGTCTGGGCTACACAGGAACACAGACACGGACGCGCACACACACACACACACACACACACACAGACACACACACACACACACACACACACACAAACACACACACACATGCATGCGCGCGCACCATTTTCTCGGGCAGCATCTGCAGCTGTTACATTCAATGCAATCAGGGACATGGGCCTAGCATCTGACTATTTCATAATAATGTTGGGGTAAATCACACCCAAGCCTTTGCTATTAAAAGATGTACTGTTTTATTTTCTGTTATTTTTCTCGTTTCTCTTTATGTAAAAACAAAGTTATATTGTTTCTTTGAACCTTAAACTTGTACGCAGTTATTATACCTTGATTCTGGAATTAAAGGGACGCTAGGAAACAGGTGTTTCTGGAAGCATGCTTGGGTCTGATGGGTGGAGAGCATCAGTCTGGAGAGAAGGCTGTTACGTTCAGAACAACGAAGACTGCCACCTGAAGTGGGGAGAGTGAACTGACGCTGCATCACAGAAGGCATTAGGACCGGAGAGCTGGAACCCACTGCACCCAAAGACCCTCCTGGAAGACTGCGCTCCTGCCCTGACCCAGGCAGTCAGGGCCCTTCTTCCAAGGAGCTCACAGTAGTGTGGGGAAGCAGATGGAGCAGGGAAGAAGGTGGGGAGCAGCCTAGGCAAGCAAAAGCACTGGGTCAGATATTCTTGGTCTAATCCAAACCTCCCTGCCAACTACCCGTCTAGGCCAGTCAGTGCAGGAAAATGTAACAAGGATGCTAGTGGTTTGGGACATAAAAATTTAACTTTTTTAGCCAGGCGTGGTGGTGCACACCTTTAATCCCAGCACTCAGGAGGCAGAGGCAGGCGGATCTCTGTGAGTTCAAAGCCAGCCTGGTCTACATAGTGAGTTCCAGGACAGCTGGGGCTACAGGGAGACCCTGTCTCAAAAAGACCAAAAAAAAAAAAAATTTTAACTTTTTCAAAATTTGTGTCAATTTAGAAACCTACCTAAAAACATGAGTAAAATATGAATGTGCACTTTAGCATATAAATAGAGATACATTCTTTAAAAGTCTCTTTCATGATCCCTAGGAAGTAACTATTACTATAAACCTAGAATATATTCTCCCCAACCTTGTATCATCCTGCTCTCTAATTAAACTATGTATTAGTAAATGAAGGACAGTTGACACTCTGACAACTTAGATGTTACACGTGACTTGAGCATTGTCCCCCTTTCTGGCCTCATCACAACACTGAGAAGTGCTTGTTAAAATCACACCCATTATATCATAAGAAGGGAAAATTTTAAAAGACCTTGGAAGAATCAGTGCACCCCAGTGATATGGGCTTAAGTGCCGAATTTGAACCTGGATAGTTTTTCCCAAGAGCCCACACTGTCAACCAGATACACTGTGCAGCTTTGAATTTTTAACGACCTCCTACATACCCTTCTGATTTTCCCCCCTTGGGACAAATAAGCATTGACTAATAGTTCCACATCCATTTATAGTAAAAAGTATGCCTAGCCCTTTAAACAGAAGCGTGGGGCCGTATAGGTGCCAAATCATGGCTCCCCTAAGCTGTGTGATCTTTAGTAAACTACTTAACCTCTCTGAATCACAGAGAAGTACAGCAAAGCCCTAAGAGAATAGATCCAAGTGTCCTGTGGGTGGCTGAAGGCAGGTAGTGAAGTCAGAGTCTCTGTTGGAGAAATTCGTGTCGCTGTCGGTCTCTGAGGTCCCCCTTCACTAGCCTCTGAAACTCAATTCCTTCCCCACCTCTCTTCCTCAAAACTGACTCCCTGTCCTACATCAGAGCTTCCCCTGATGTCATCAAAAGATTCCAGAGCTCTGGAAAGAGGATTTGAGTCTGAGCCAAAAATAGCAAGAGCTGTGATCCCAACTAAAGCCTAAAATTGCTGTGTGGCTAAAACAAGTCTCTGGGCCTCTATTTTCTCATCTCCAAACTGTGGACTTATAAATCTCTCTAAATCCTCCCCCAATTCTATCTCTGGTAATGGGAAGGAGGAGAATCTTCCTTCCAGTGGTGGATCCAGTGCAGATGAAGCGCCTGACCTTTATCCTGCATCTATTGATCTGTCAGAGGCCACAGTTGATTGTCTTTCTCTGGAGTAGACATGGAATCATTGCTTGGACAGCAAAGGCCCTCTTTTGCCTGAGGAAACAAAATGTTCTGGGAAATTTACTCACAAAAATTGCCTTCAAATTGTCTAAAGAGCCACAAATTCACACCAAACAGGGCATGACACGAAGCCTGAGGGCCCTAGCATTGTCTGTAAGTACTTCTCCCTATGAAAATTTCACAGCCCTTCAGAGGCCTGGCCTGGCTTGGCTTAACCACAGATACATCAGGCCAAGGCAGGCAAGTGATTAGGTATCCAGGGGACTAATCTGTGTGGGAAGCACCTCTGCCCAGAGAGACAGCAGGGCATTAAATCAGAGATCTAAGGCAACAGCCTCCCTCATGGCCAGGGCCATTCATCCCATGTCGATCAGACACACACCATGCATCTCCACAGCTCTTCTGAAACCCATCATCACTGAGGAAACCCAGCGGTATAGCCAGAGTAAGAGCCATGATACCTGAGTTCTGAAAGACAGTGGGCAGAACCTTGACCTTGGAAATGATCTCTGTACCTTCATTTCAGAATACAAGACTTGGGCTTGAACTCTCTAACCTCTGGCAATTTATGCCCCCTGACACAATGGCCTTCTTTGCCCACTGAGGAGATAGGCTGGCCTTTCAAACTCTGCACCAGGCTCTTCAGTTCCCATTTATCTGTGCCACACAATTCCCTACATTCCTTGGAGCCCTTTCCCTCTGCTCCAGGTGGTATCAGAAGGAAGGAGATGTCCCTGCCTAGTCCACAGAGATTGATTCGAGGCTGGGGAGAACAGGTGGATGCTTGCCTTGTTTCTGATGCTTACTATAGAATAAGAAACCTAATGGCTTTAAGGGGACAGCCTGTTTCCTCTCAGGATTCTGTAGTTGGGATTCCTGCCACCAGGAGGCTGCACTGGGCCTGAAGCTCCAAAGTGCTCACTCAGAAGCTGTGAAAGGAACTGAAGCAGGGACTGTGGATGGGAGCATAGTCCTCTCCGTGTGGCTTGGGCTCCAACTGGGATCACTTCAAACAAGTCCTAAGGCACCAGCAACTTACCAGGATACTACTCATGTCACACTTGAAAAAGTCCTATTGGTCAAGCAAGTAACAGATCCAGGCTGAGTGCCAGGAGAGAGACTACTCAGGACAGTGAATACCAAAAACCATGGTTCTTTCATTTTTGTGGCTTAGCTGGTGTGAGTTGCTGTCACTTATCACCAAAATATCCATGACTATAGACTCAATATTGGACCTCAATTCAATTCTTATCTTTGCCACTTTATTTCCTGTGCAGCCAAAAAGTTACCTGCCTTATCAGGAATTCTATTTCTTCATCCTTAACATAGGGTTTAATGCCCTATTCAGGTTACCATGATGAAAAACAAATAACACACAGGCCTGAAAACAAATATAGATCCAAATGTCGTATAGAAAACATATCACAGTCCTGACAAAGGACTGTGAACCAAAAGTTCCAGTCTCTTCAGTTTGTTATTCCATTCACTTCACCGATATTTATTAGATACCTACTATGTGCATAACATATTCTGACACGTTCCCACCACTCACCACTGGCTAAGCCAGTCTACCACACATTCCCACCATAATGGACTGTATTCACTGAAACTATGAGTCAAAATAAATCCTCCCCCACTTAAGTTGCTTCTGTTTTGTCACAACAAGAACAGTAACTCAGAGCCACTGAGGATTCTGAAGTATGATAGTCACAAAACCAGAACCGTGTCTTGAAAGATCACTAGGGTGTAATGAGTAATAGACCTGGCA